CTCTGTCTCTGTCTCTGTCTGCCTGTATGTCTCCCGCCTTTCTCTTTCTCTCCCTCTCTTTCTTTCTTTCTCTCTCTCTCTCTCTCTCTCTCTCTCTCTCTCTCTCTCTCTCTCTCTCTCTCTTTTTCTCGTTGTGTGTGTCCATAATGGCACTAGATCTGCCTCCATTAAACTCTCTGGCGTTAATACAATTACAACAAAACAAAAATATACGACACACAATTAACGTAGAAAAACAATTATCCCCTTCTCTGGTTTCCCGTGGATTCACTAATGCCTAACAAATTTGACTTCAAAGAAAAAGAAAATAGCCTTCTAACGTGATATCCTTTCCTACCGCACACCGGGTAAGGTAAGGGGCAACATTCGGGTAGAACAGAGTTTCTGTGTACAGTTCAATTTTAATTGAAGCACTATCTGTACTATACGATTGTCGAACAGTAATTACCCGGTAGAGTTCACACAGCTTTCTTGTTATTCTACACCTACCTCACTACATAAAAATAAATTTCAGGATCAATGTTCTTTTATCGCCTGCCCTCCTTACTTCTAACCCCTACACCCTCGTCTTCACCTTCACCCCTGGAACAATTTCACTTAAATTGTATTTCTTTTTCAAAAAGTGCTCGTTGACGGGAAAGCCAATTTCAAACTGAAGTATGTTGTGTAACAAGTCTAGACAAATCGTTTTGAACACAAAATGCCTAGCAAAAGTACTATCGTCGTAGGAGATATTTCCTTGTGGTTCGTCTGTTCCACTGTGGGTGGAGTTCCGTGTAATCTCCCTTAGAATAAAGCTCAAAGTAACCCGTCTCTTAGATATTGAATCAGCTTTGTTTGGTTTGATTGATATTTAAAGAAATTTAAATGTTGGTGTATTTACGCTCCCATTAAACACAATTTAGATTATTTAGAAGGCAGGTTTCGGACCCAGCTTGTCGAGAGGAACCTGGGTGGAAAGGGGTGGTGCAATATCCCAGCAGAAAGACTGTAATACTTGATAAAAAAGTCCCCACTTTGGATACAAACTCCGGTCTCCTGTGAAATGGTATACGTTTAACGCCTCTATCAACATTTCGATTATTTAATCGGCGTGTTGCTCTCCTGTCTGCGACAGCGAAGTGCCCAGAACTCCGTCACAAACGTTGAAGCCTTAGTTTGAAGATACAGCCCAAACGTTGGTTTTTTGGGGGGGTTTTTAATGATTTTTTTTGGGTTGGTTTTCTTTTGTTTGCCCGAAGACAACATAGCTGTGGTGAAAGAATGTTGTATGATGATTTAAGACTTTCCCTGGTATTCCCCTCTCAAATTAGACAAACATGTAATTTGTTTTACTTTTCTCTTTCACAGATTGAAAATATTTCAAGGACTTGGTTTCGGTGAAGTCGTCAATCTCCGTTTATCGTCAACGTTTCCACAGCCCTCAGAATAGAAATTTCCAACAAGCCAAAGCCTACGTAATGAAGGCAAACACGATGTTTATCATTCTGTGCCTCAGCCTCTCCACTCTGTGCGTAAGTTCACAATCTACCTCTGTACATGGGAAAATCTTCGTCCCCAACAGAGCAGTAAAATTGTCATCAGATGGAAACTATCCTTTCGATCTTTCTAAAGAAGACGGCGCTCAACCCTATTTCATGACTCCGAGACTACGCTTCTACCCCATAGGCAAAAGAGCTGCAGGGGAAATGGAGCAGTCGGAAGGACAAAATCCTGAAACTAAAAGCCACTCATGGAGAAAACGGTCTGTCCTAACGCCTTCGCTTTCGAGTCTTGGTGAGTCACTCGAGTCTGGAATCTCGAAACGAATCTCCATCAACCAGGATTGAAGGCTATCACAGACATGCTGCTTACAGAGCAAATCCAAGCAAGGCGAAGGTGTCTCGCTGCCTTACGCCAACGTCTCTTGGATTTGGGTAAGCGGGATTCTGACGTCAGTCTGTTCAACGGCGACCTCCTCCCCAATGGGAGGTGCAGCTGAAAACGATAAGCAACCTCTTGGACTAATGGAACAGTCTGTAAAGCGAACGACACAAACCCAAACGGTGTCGGTAGGGTCGTAAAACATTAAACATTTTACAACCAAAACTTTGTCTAGTGGTTGGTTGTTGGTTTTTTTATCCTCCCTGGTCTTCCAAACAATTCTAGTCTCACTTGTTCTACTTGTCTTTACTTTCGCCCTTATTTCTTTTTTAAAAGTCACATGTTCCTTCCCTTGAAACTTGGGTGTGAGTGATATATTAAAGTAGCTGGGCCCCCCCCCCCCCTTTCAATGAAAGGAATGATCAGTGCGTTATCATCAACTGAAAGTCATTTGCCTACTATATTTACAGTGTACTGGAATGGAGCAATAAATCTTGAGAGATGAAGTAATTAGAAGGTCTAGATATAATATACTCTCAAAACAAATTGAGCCTCGCAAAATATCACTTCAGGCACCTCCATAGCGAAGGACAGTTACACAGATGTGTTTCGTTTCTCAGTGGAAAAATCACAAAGGCCAAAGAAGGACGGGAACTTTTTGTGAAATATATTTGTCTAATTTAGGAAATGAATAAATAAAAATTCAGGCTCCGTCTTGGGGACCTATTTATCTTTTTGCAGGTAATTGCCAACTTTCAACTTTGTAGCTCTCGCAGTTATAAGGGGAAAGGGACACATTATGTGTTTCCAAGTCGTCAACTATATACTAGATGTGTAGATTGAACCTCTATTCCGCTTTCGTGGTTGTGCATTACAGAATTTCAAAGGTGTGGAAGCAGTTCGCACGGCTACTGAACAGAAACTACTTGTTTACTATGGCGTCTTAGAAGACGAACTTTCCCAAGACTAGATCTAAACGAAACTAAAGAAAACTGAAAATTAAACTACAGTGACTTCAGGCTCATCAATAAAACTGTGCACCCTTTAAATGATTCTGATTTTTTTTTATAGTAGATGGTTTTGCGGCGCTGGCAACTGCATACGGTCATATGAGCGCCAAGGGGTGGGTGTCAACAGAGAAGTCTTTACAGGGAATCAGACTTATTCTGCTCACCTCTCTAGCTTCAACAGCACAAGGTCTGCTTCGACTATCAAGGCACCCCAAAATAGTAGGTCACAAGAGAGTGACAAACATAATACAGCAGTTCCCTGTTGTAGGTCAGGAACAGTTATGAGCGTGACACGAGTCAGTGCATTTACAATTCTACTATGCTTGAACGAAAATGCCCCCCCCCCCCCTTTG